TATCAGCATTGTGGCTGCCCGCCACGGTAGCTTTACCAATAAGACTATATGCTTGTTCGTTTCCTTTCACCCCTGTGTGCCCTGCCAAAAATATGAAATTGATGTTCATTAGCCCCGGCTGCCTCAGAGACTCCAACCACTGTCTTTGGACCCAGCCTATCTCTGTTTTCCTGAGCATACTCATGGAGTCATAGAGAAAATATGTGCATGTAAAGGTTTACACCACCAGCTCCGTCATTGATGTGGTCACTGGTAGTGAAGGCGAAAGCTCCAGAATCTTGCTTCACAATTTAAACTCCAACCTGAGCCATAAAAGCCCGAGAGCTTCTCACATGCTGAATCACAGACCCATCTGTAAAAATGACAGCATTCCCCTGTAGACATGACATCATCTCCCTCTGGAGAATTCTCGAAAATAAAGGCCTGCACTTCTGCTTCCACAGCTGCCTCACTTTGTTGTCTGCATGTTTTGTCTAGTCGGGTGTAAACAGAAAACTTCGAGTATCACCCTGTTGGCACTTGTAACCATTCCTCACCAGCTTCTTCATCCTCAACATAGCACACCTGCTGAATAATGTCTTTGACCTTAACCATCCACAATGTTCCTTTTAGCCTGCTGCCCTTTTTCTTCTTACTTTCGTTAACCAGTGGGTGTTTTGTGTCTGCGTTGACTCTGAGGTAGGCTCTCGCTCGGCAAATTTGTATTCTTTCTCCGTAGCTAGACAGTCGAGAAGGTAGCTAGCGCATCGCCCTGCATGCTGTATCTCTTGAACACCCGAATATACTGCGCGCAGATTTGTTCTGTATCCTTTCCATCCTCTCCAACTGCTTATGCCTGAGAGTCAGGATCCCCAACGCATAAAGGTCTATTCCTGTTTCCTCCACATGCGAAACATGGCCTAAAAAAAAAGCCTATCATACATACATAGCGTAACATTATCTACAGCGTCTTACATGTTAGCCTAATAGACATAATCTAACATTGTCTACTGGACCTGGCAGCGTAGCCTAACATACACAGCCTGATATTGTCTACTGGATCTGGCAGCTTAGAACAACATACATAGCTTAACACATATCGCCTAAAGTTGTCTACTGGGTTTGAAAGGTGTCTGAAAAGGGGGAGGGGGATGTTGATCAAGGGACTTGAGGTCCCATGTTCTGACGCCCATGCCTAACAAATAATACATAGATACGCCAAAAAAATTGAGTGTTTGTTAGGGATGGGGGTGGGAGATCTCAGTTCCTTGAATGCTCCCCAATAGTTTTGTAAGGGGACTAAGATGCCCCTTTAACTATGTATAGAAACTATCTTTTAAAGTACTTGCACATATCTTTCATATAATTTCAAGCACATTATTATATTTATTTTCCATTTTGCACGTTAGTATTATATTATTTTTATCATCATTATTGTGAGGAATGGCAAGTCAATATATCTATGTGTACTTTAAATTATTGTATTAAGTGTATAAGCAATTGCTGTTAAAGAAACTGTATGTACATACTTACAGAGGGTCTCTTAGTCTTCTTGCTACATTATTATTCTTACCCTCACCTCCCCATCAAACAAAAATTGGGGGTGGGGTGGGGTCTCAACGGACCTGACCCCCCCCCCCACCCCAATCCAGTTTCCGGTACTATGTGAAAAGCTTCGCTTATCCCCCTCCATCCCCCACCCACCCCCACCAATCACCCTAGTTTTTTTTCACGACTCTAGCAATTATGTTTCCTTGAAAATACGAAGCATTGGCTTAACGAGCGAAAGAACGAACTTTATTTTCAAAGGGTCACAAATTGGGCTTGGTTATTTCAGTTAGTGCAAATGCAAACACGACCATCGTGTCTGTTGCATTATCTACTGGGTCCGAACTGCGAGCCTACCGTACTTAATCTGGGCCCTATAGACAGTAAAAAGTAAGGTAAAGGACCATTTTTCCACGCCTTTAATCGTATTGGGCAGGTATGGCTATACCTACATTTTATGGACCAATCGGCACTCAGTGGGTGATGTGGTCAACCTCACCCCAGCCGCCTTTATTTCCCAGGAATTTGCCTAGTACCTATTTAAGACATTCACATCTTCACCAGCAAACGAAGAGTTCTAATTCCAATGGCATCAATAACTGTCTGATTTTGTGTGGTCACGCCTGTCCTTTCAGTGTTGAGCGGCGGCCATAACCCCTGGTAACGCCTAGCAACGCCATTCTCCTCAGACCGTAATGATCTATTTGTGCCTCCACACTGTTCTAAGGGCCCTCACATCTAGCTTATCATACATCAATTCGCCACCAAGGGGTGCAGAGCCTGCCAATCTCTCTGCCTGTTTATGTCCTAACACACCAGCATATGCTGGAGAAAATATCCAATGGACGCTAACTACCCGGCACTTCTGAAGCGATGCTTGCCCTCTGCACGGAGCATGCCTGTCTCCATCTTGCCCAACACGCGTGTACATGCGTGTACAGCTGATTCTCAAGCCAATGAAATGCAGCAGTGACTGCGTCTATTTGGGAAGTAACGGTCTTATGATTTTGTTGTTTTACTTCCAGCAGCCGCTTTGCAGAACGTCGCTCTCATCGTGGCATGAAGGAAAGCTGCATAGTCCACTGGTAACTGTCTCGTCTCGTGAATTGTCATGCCCAGGATGTCCATAGATAATGTCATGTGCTCACCATTGTACTGGAAAACATGTAACCTACAGTAACTAGAGAGGTGTAACTAAAACATGTACACGAAAACAAGACAACAAAGTATATCAATCGATCGATCAGTTTGAAACCTCCGGGCTATTACCTTAAGGTTTACCATACTATCCTGAGATTTAAAATTCTCAGTCTGTGCGGCAGACAAACAAGGTAAATCCATGATACTCATTTCCAACCATCACAGAAGCTATAATTAAGTAAAGTAAAGGACCTTTTTCCACGCCTTTCAGGCGTATTGAGTATATATGGCTAGATCTATATTTTATATACCAATCGGCACTTGATGGGTGATGTGGTTAGCATCACGCCAGCCGCCTTTACTTCCCAGGACTTTACATGGTACTCATTCAAGGCTGGGTCGACCTGGGAGCCGAGGTCATTTTTTGAAAAAAATCCGACACTCGTCAGGAACCGAACCCACAACCTTTCGATCCCCAGCCGAGCGTCTAGCCGCTAGCAGAAGAAGTTATAATTAGGGCACCTATAATTGGTACTGATTACTGGTGTAAGAATCGACATCATAGCACACTGGGGATACCAATAGATGCTCCGTCTCCCGCAGCAAATGGCGTAAGGTGTAGATGCTAACTGTTCCCGTAGCATACTGATTATACACACGCCGATCTCTTCTCTCATCCGTCCCTCCTTGCCGTAACCACACTTAATTCCTCGTTCATTCATTCTTGCCCATGTATTTCACTTAATCTTGTGTCTTCAGCCAAAAGTCGTTCATATATGGTCTTCAGAATATCTCCCTTGTCCAATACGAGTGCTCCCGTAGCTTTCTCTTTTGTGGCCATAAAATCCTCTCTTTTAGTCCCTCGCACTCCTCCATATCCCGGACTGTATATCCATGTGATTTACTGCAATGTTGGCGTACTGATGCATGGTATTCACTTATGCCACATTAGTCCATTTTGAACCTTCCGCAATGCCGACTGAGAATCAGACACAATAATTTATCTGGCAACTTTGTTTTCTGCTATCCGCTCAGTGTTGCCACTTTGGATCTTTTATATCCAAATTTAGATCTTTTTCATTGCATTTAGATACTGTTTTTGACGTTTAGATCGTAAATATTTTTCTAGATCTTTTCATATGGAGTAAAAAATTTTATAGATTTTTTTCTTTCATTGTCAATTTAATAATTACTGTGTAAAATATTTACTACAATATTTTTGTTTTGGTCTGGCACGTACATTGTGACAACTGCCATTACTTGAACTTTGGTCTCTCACTGGAGTCAACGCACAAATATCTGGCAGCCCCGGTACTGATTAATAAAAACGTGCGTAAATCATACTAACTTTGTTTCAACCGTATCCTCACTGTGCTGACTTTGCGTTTCTTTTTTCATGTGATTTAAAAAAACATAATTGCTCACCTTCTTATGTGGCTTTCACTTTGAAAAAACCTTTCAACATTCCAAAAGTAAAGTATAAGCAAAAAATTTGGAAAGAGTGGTTGCATTATGACAAAATTAAAAACTGATGAAATGAACAAAGCTTGTAAGTACTGCAAGAGTGAAATTAAAGCGAAAATACAAAACTCAAAGAGACTAAAAAAGCATAAAACTGCAGTTTCATTTAAAGATATTACACCGCTGACATCTGTTTTCAGAACTATAATGATCAATGAATCATCAAAAGTTGAAGTATCAGTCGCAATGTTTTTAATTTGTCACTGCGCAATTTCAAACTGTGACCATTTGATCGATTTGTAAAAAATCTTGGACTAATTCAATTTGAAAAGTGTGATCTAGAAAGTATAGTTTAGGAACTGAAGGACCTTTTAATCAGCAAACAGTTAGGCTTGAAGAATTTGGCTGTAACTGGTACTGATAATGCCTCGGTGATGGTTGGTATAAACAATGGCATTTATGCCAAGTTGAAGGAAGCTAACCCATCGTTAATACTTATAAAATGTATGCGTCATTCATTACAGCTAGCATTATCACATGCTTTATCTAAATATTTACCAAGGAATTTGGAATACCTTATTGCTGAAACACTTTACTGGTTTTCCAAATCATTTGTCAGACAACAGCAATACAATACATTATATACAGCCTTGAATGATGGTTCCTCACCACCGAAAATTCTGTCAGATTGCAAAACTCGATAGTTATCAATTTAACCAGCTGTTGAAAGAATTATGAAGCAATGGTTGAAGTTGAAGACACACTTTGAAATAACAAGACAAAGTGAAAAGTGCTACACAGCTGAAATACTATATGGAATGTACAGTGATGAAAAAAAGGTGTCATTCTTTCTCTTCTTATAACCTATTCTAATGGAAGTGCAAAAAATTAATAAACTGTTCGAATCTAAACTTGTTGATAAAGTTAAATTACTTGATGATCTCACCTTGCTATTTCACTCGGTAAAAGACTGGTGTTGCCAACTTCTAAAGCTGATTTGCTCACTTGCATTATAGAGAGCTATTTGGCTCCTAAGCCACACCTTGGATATTAAATCGAATCAAAAATTGGATGATTTAAAAACGAAAGGACTGTTATCAGAAAATGAAGAGAACAACTTAAGAAAAAGCTGTCAAGATTTCCTTATCTCATAATTGGAGCAATTGAAGCAGAGACTTCCTGAAAATCTAGATGTTTTGAAAAATATTTCACTTTTTTTCTGTGAGCAACATACTTCAGCCAATAAAGGACATACCTAAATATTGTAAAGTTTTGAAATTTTTAGGGGCTACTGATAATAGTGTCGCGGAAGCAGAATATCAGTTAACCAAAATAAAGTTAGCTGAATGGACAAACAAAACAGAAACTAAAGCGTTTTGGAGTGAAGTGAGACAATTTAAAGATGCCTCATCAAACAGTCCATTCTGTAAGCTCTTTAAAGTGCCATGTCTGCCATGATAATACCCCACTCAAATGCTGACGTTGAAAGAGTTTTCAGTGCTAGGAATTATATCAAATCTAACCTAAAAAACAGGATGAAATTTGACCTCTTAAATGCTATCGTGCCATTAAAATTCAGCCTGATGAGACTAGAGAAATAAGCCTACTGTTCCGCTTATAAAGAAATTTGAACAGCTAAAGCATACCAGGGTCATTTTGGATCTGAAGCTTCAACTTCATTATCCAAGCTAAGTTTATCCAGTGGATCTTGTGAGGCAGACATCAGTGAAGGTGAGGACATGCTTATGTAGGGTAAGTCATAACAAAAGCTATGTAATTTTTGACTTTTTCAATTTGGATGTTTTTTCTAGATCTTTTCCACGCAGATTTAGATCTTTTAAGATATTTTTTGACACCATTTTGGATATTTTTTGTCAGAGAAAAGTGGCAACACTGTATCCGCTTCAGAGCTGCAGTGAATACCTCCAATTCCAATCCCATGCTTGAAGTTGCAGATAAAAAAAAAAGCTCCGTTTTGTTCTGCCATAATTTTTCCCTTTATTTTAGCTGCAAATCCCCAGTCAGATTTTACACCCCGATGAACAGAACCACGACCGGCTCCAGCTGTAATAGCTTAAGTCGGACGTAATCCAGAACCGTCGGTGTACACTACATCATCATCTAGTCCAGCCTTTCCAGCTATCAGTTGTTGTATTTCTTATTCTGCGAGACCGTTACACCACTTTCTACATTCTCTTCCTATCGTGATAATGACCTGATGAAAACTGATGTTGTGGGTGTTCGTGTCGATCCATTCCTGCCTTCTGTGCATTTACCATGCGGGTAAGGAGTTGAGTTAAGTTAAGTCAAAAATTGACATCACAGCACTCGGGGCATTTGCATGCATGCTCCGTCCTTATCTTCAGCAGCCAGCGCATAGTTCCAATACTGACGGTACCGGTCACAAATGTGGATAAGGATCACAATAAATGCGACAGGTAGTATTAACAAGGAATGGCAACTCTCTTAGCGTGAAATCAGTAAAGTACGATGGCGGTACCTGCAGTTTGAAGAAATTGACAAGATTCAGTCTGGCTTGTCTGACTAGCACGTTTAACTTTAAGATTTGGATTGTTTCACTTACAAGACTTGGGTAGCCAGGCTCAACAGTTTTGTTGTTGTTGGACAAGCTCAGGCTTGGACATACTTTTAATCGCAAGACTGAGGCAGTCAGAGACCAGACGAGACCTGGCCTGGTATCATCTCAAACAGAAGATTGAGTAGTTATTGCAACATGATTTTTCTTCTTCTTCGCGTTTTCTATGGCTTACCTGCTGTAAGCTCCGGCGGAAAGTTCTAGTTGTTTGTCCATTTCTTGAACTTAGTCTTGTTCCAGAACCCTAGTAGTTGCGTACACATCTGCTTCCCAGATCTGACTTATTTATTTGTATGCAGATTGACGAGATTGTTGGTTTCTTGCCTCTCAGACTGATCTGATGCACTCCGACTTTGAAGGAAGGACCCACCCCCGGCTAGTCCACTCTTACGGCATTCTTCTTGGGGAGGCAGTGGGTCTCTAAAATGGACGCTAGGCGGGCCACTGTTTTTGGAGCCGAGGCAAATTTTTTGCTTCTGCCGGACGGTGGCCGATGCATTTTTGTTCCATTTGTAGACTGGATATAGTTTCGCCGCTCAGCTTCTGAGTTGAATGCATGGCGTGACACTGTGAGCTGCGGATTTTATTTGGAATGTTTTTTCGACAGTCACCAACGTGGTGGTGTGAAGTGTAGATTCAGAAAATGGTGCGATGCCTGTCGTCGCAATTTTGATGGTGCCATTGTGTGATTAAAATTGGTCGCGTGGGCAACTGCAGATCTGTTGGTGACTTCTGCTACCATCAATGATGAACTGCATTTCAAATTTCGGACTGTTTGTGTTAGCATTTCAGATGGCTACCATATGCTTTAATGCGAGTGTATGCTAGATGCTAAGACAGCAGTCTGTCAATCTTTCTACAAGGGATTGTGATAAACATTCTGTGTGTTTTTTGTTGGCACAGGAGCGGAGCAAAGATGGGGTGACCCGTTTGCTATGAAGCTGAAACTAGGACTACCAGACTATCTATTCTTGTTTTCCCCATCATGGAGCTCCGCAGAACCCACAGGGGGATGTCTAGTTTAGTTGAAATAATTTACTAATTATACTAAATAATACTTAGTAGGCTACATAGGGCTTTCAATCAAATTAGATACTTTCTCATTCTTAATCAATGTTTTAGAAATTGCTTTCAAATGATGTAACCATGAATGTAGGATGCATTCACTCTTGCGTATCAATTCCAGGCTGAGATATTCTTTTTTGTTTGATGAAATTATTAATTTGAAAATGATGACAGTACTTTGTACTCTCCACTACTTGAATCTCTGACTTCTTGTTTGTTTTGTGAACTTTATAACACCCTCTTCTTGGCGACAACAAGACATAAGAAATCAAAAACAAATAGGTCTGAGACACCAACCTAATGTTTAAATTATCGTACTCAATGTTCAGCCTTGAATTAAAAATCTCTGAATTATTGACACAATGTGTCAACATCCATCCCGAACCTGGGAAACAAAGATGCTGAGCCTGCTTTAGTAAAGAAAGCACTTACAATGGAATACCTCAACAACATGTTCCCACAGGACAGCTGGACGAGAATCTACACGGATGGATCAGCAAAAGAGGCAACTACGAATGGTGGGGCAGGTGTTTACATAAAACACCCAGATGCCACTACTGTGTCCCTAGCAGCCCCCACCGGACGAACTTGCTTTAACTGCAAGGCAGAACTCTCAGCCCTTTTGATGGCAGCACAGTATATGAACAATCTGCAAATTACCGCAGGTAGGATAGTTTTTCTCACTGACTCACTGTCAGCTATACAGGCCCTTGAGTCCAAACCTACCGACAGCACACTACAAAGTCTAACACATGAACTTGCTATGTTGTCAAATAAAGCAGAAATTCACTTGCAGTGGATTCCGTCTCACTGTGGCATCAAAGGCAATGAAAGCGCAGATGCTTTAGCCAAGGAAGGCAGTAAAAACCACAGACCTACCAGCCACTATCTTTTCCAGAAGTCAAAACTCTCATTAAGAGAAATTCAGAAACAGATTGGAAAACCAACACTAGTTATAACTACGGAAAAGATTTTCTGAAACACTTGAACAGAACAGACCAAGTCACAGTCTTTCGCTTACACACTGGACACTGCAGACTCAATAAACACTCACATAAATTAGGTATGAGCCAAGCAGCTCTCTGCCAGTGCCTTCGTGCTGAACAGACTCCAGAACATGTCCTGCAAGACTGTCCTCTCCTGGCGGAGCTGCGGAGCGACATATGGCAACACCCAGTAGAACTGACAACTAAGCTTTGGGGAAACCTAAAAGACCTTGAAAAGACATCTCAGTTTATAACCCACAGTGGATTATGCGCATGACCAGAGATCGCTGAAGAAGAAGAAGAATTAAAAATCACTGTCACTTGTTTTTTAAGTCATTTTCCCATTAACCATTCATTATTAATAGAGCAGACAGGTCAACCATATATCTGTTTGCCTAGATTAATACAGGTAATATTAAATGTTATGCCTTGCCTAAACAGTCTAAATAGTTGCCAGTTATTTTTAAATATCTTTCAGTATAAAGAAAGATGTGATTAGCTCTTCCCCTGGCTCCCACACATGGTATAACTTATAAGGTATGATATGACTTGTGCAGTATAGATGCGCCTAGAGACCTGTATATGTCTAGATAGTAATTAACAGAGATTAAAGTACAGACTGACTCTAGCATGCACATGCAGACCTTCTATGAGAGATTACACCAGTCCAGGAAAAATAGAATGTTTCTGTTAACTGATAAAGGCCACGGGGCATGAAAACGTGGATCATAATCACATAAAACTTTGGGAGTACAACCCATTGTGTGATTGGCTCTTCCCGGTCCAACCCATTGTGTGATTGGCTCTTCCCGGTCCAACCCATTGTGTGATTGGCTCTTTCCTGGGTCCTACCAGTGATGTGATTGGCTCTTCCCTGGGTCTCACATGTGATGTGCATGATGTGACTGACTCTTTCCTGGGTCCTACCAATGATGTGATTGGCTCTTCCCTGGGTCTCACATGTGATATGCATGATGTGACTGACTATTTCCTGGGTCCTACCAATGATGTGATTAGCTCTTCTCTGGGTCTCACATGTGATTTGCATGATGTGACTGACTTTCCTGGGTCCTACCAGTGATGTGATTGGCTCTTCCCTGGGTTCCACATGTGATATGAATGATGTGACTGACTCTTTCCTGGGTCCTACCAATGATGTGTTTGGCTCAGGGTACTAAACAATCTGACAGTCAGTTGCGTAGACTGCAGTAGAATTTATTAAGTGACAAGAAAAGTTTGTTCACTTTTTTATACTTTTTTTGGGCACTACTGATAACATCATGAAGAAAGGTGCAAATGATACACTGGATGGGCACCATCATTTTATACAGATGTTGTTCTTCAAAAAGTGTGTGAGACTAACTTTATGTGTGGTGGATACATATTCTTCACAAGGTTTGTGTGTAGTATCATGTATGGATACATATTTCTCACAAGGTATGTGTGTAACATCAAGTGTGGATAAATATTCTTTATACAGTGTGTGTAGCATAAAATGTAGATACATATTCTTCACAAGGTGTTTGTGTGTAGCATAATGGGTGGATACATATTTTTACAAGGTGTGTGTAGCATCACATGTAGATACATTTTCTTCACCAGGTGTTTGTGTGTAGCATCATATGTGGATACATATTCTTTACAAGGTGTGTGTAGCATCATATGTGGATACAACATATTCTTTGCAAGCGTATGTGTGGCATCAAATGTAGATACATTGTCTTCATAAGGTGTGTGTGTGTGTGTGTGTGGCACCATGTGTGGATAGATTTTGTACAAGGTGTGTGTGTGTGTGTGTGTGTAGCATCATGTATGGAGACATATTCTTCACAAGGTGTGTGTGTGTAGCATCATATATGGAGACATATTCTTCACAAGGTGTGTGTGTGTGTGTAGCATCATGTAGGGAGACATATTCTTCACAAGGTGTGTGTGTAGCATCATGTATGGAGACATATTCTTCACAAGGTGTGTGTGTGTGTAGCATCATGTATGGAGACATATTCTTCACAAGGTGTGTGTGTAGCATCATATAGGGATGCATATTCTTCACAAGGTGTGTGTGTGTGTGTGTAGCATCATGTAGGGAGACATATTCTTCACAAGGTGTGTGTGTGTGTGTAGCATCATGTAGGGAGACATATTCTTCACAAGGTGTGTGTGTGTGTGTGTGTAGCATCATGTATGGAGACATATTCTTCACAAGGTGTGTGTGTGTGTGTAGCATCATGTAGGGAGACATATTCTTCACAAGGTGTGTGTGTAGCATCATGTATGGAGACATATTCTTCACAAGGTGTGTGTGTGTAGCATCATGTAGGGAGACATATTCTTCACAAGGTGTGTGTGTGTGTGTAGCATCATGTATGGAGACATATTCTTCACAAGGTGTGTGTGTGTGTAGCATCATGTAGGGAGACATATTCTTCACAAGGTGTATGTGTGTATAGCATCATGTATGGAGACATATTCTTCACAAGGTGTGTGTGTGTGTGTAGCATCATGTATGGAGACATATTCTTCACAAGGTGTGTGTGTGTAGCATCATGTAGGGAGACATATTCTTCACAAGGTGTGTGTGTGTGTGTAGCATCATATATGGAGACATATTCTTCACAAGGTGTGTGTGTGTAGCATCATGTATGGAGACATATTCTTCACAAGGTGTGTGTGTGTATAGCATCATGTATGGAGACATATTCTTCACAAGGTGTGTGTGTGTGTATAGCATCATGTATGGAGACATATTCTTCACAAGGTGTGTGTGTGTATAGCATCATGTATGGAGACATATTCTTCACAAGGTGTGTGTGTGTAGCATCATGTATGGAGACATATTCTTCACAAGGTGTGTGTGTGTAGCATCATGTATGGAGACATTCTTCACAAGGTGTGTGTGTGTATAGCATCATGTATGGAGACATTCTTCACAAGGTGTGTGTGTGTAGCATCATGTATGGAGACATATTCTTCACAAGGTGTGTGTGTGTATAGCATCATGTATGGAGACATATTCTTCACAAGGTGTGTGTGTGTGTATAGCATCATGTATGGAGACATATTCTTCACAAGGTGTGTGTGTGTATAGCATCATGTATGGAGACATATTATTCACAAGGTGTGTGTGTGTAGCATCATGTATGGAGACATATTCTTCACAAAGTGTGTGTGTGTAGCATCATGTATGGAGACATTCTTTACAAGGTGTGTGTGTGTATAGCATCATGTATGGAGACATTCTTCACAAGGTGTGTGTGTGTGTGTGTAGCATCATGTATGGAGACATATTCTTCACAAGGTGTGTGTGTGTATAGCATCATGTATGGAGACATATTCTTCACAAGGTGTGTGTGTGTGTATAGCATCATGTATGGAGACATATTCTTCACAAGGTGTGTGTGTGTATAGCATCATGTATGGAGACATATTCTTCACAAGGTGTGTGTGTGTGTAGCATCATGTAGGGAGACATATTCTTCACAAGGTGTGTGTGTAGCATCATGTATGGAGACATATTCTTCACAAGGTGTGTGTGTGTATAGCATCATGTATGGAGACATTCTTCACAAGGTGTGTGTGTGTGTGTAGCATCATGTATGGAGACATATTCTTCACAAGGGTGTGTGTGTATAGCATCATGTATGGAGACATATTCTTCACAAGGTTTGTGTGTGTAGCATCATGTATGGAGACATATTCTTCACAAGGTTTGTGTGTGTAGCATCATGTATGGAGACATATTCTTCACAAGGTGTGTGTGTAGCATCATGTATGGAGACATATTCTTCACAAGGTGTGTGTGTAGCATCATATAGGGATACATATTCTTCACAATGTGTGTGTGTGTATAGCATCATGTGTGGTCTGTGTGGATACATATTGTGTACAAGGTATGTGTCTAATAGCTTTATGTATGTCATTCATTCTAGCCTGTAGATCACTTCAAAACTGAGATAATGTTTCTGTTTGCATTAACTTTTGCAGCATGATGAGAAGTCGTAGACAACTAAGAGAGTTGTGGAGACTCTAGTGAGCAAGCAGAACTGAGATTTGGGCTATCCTATCACTGCATGGCTTGCCCTGATCTACCATTTGCCTCCCACACTTTGACACTTGTGTCAGTTGACAAGGCTTGAGGGCTGTACATATTCCTGTCAAAGTTCTCTGTGTGCAAGATAGAAATAGGGGCAAAATGTTTGAGGTACACACTATTTAATTCATAGTTGTTATAAATTTTTGCAGGTGATGGTTTCTCTGACATGACTGTACCTGGGAGCCACCAACTATTGACCATTTTATAAGATCTGTTTCCTCCATTGTCTGGCATGACTGTAGTTATAATTTCCGTGGGAGCTACCAGTCATTGACCAGTTGATGCCAGGAAGAGAACCAGTGATGGCAACCAAACAACTTGCCAGGTTGGTCATTTTTTTTTCTCACTTAAATGTGATAATGTTTCAGTGTTAATTATTCCAACTTTCCTGCCATTCTGTCATCTCCTTGTCTAAGAATGTTTTCTATTTGTGTCAAAGTTTAACCCATTCCTACAGAAACACAACTGTCCTTATAAAACAGTGATGCGGAAAGTGGGTGTGATCTGGAAACATTGGGGTCATTGACCTCATCTGCATCTGGGGGGGGGGGGGGGGGTGACCTCAACTACCTGTGATCATGTGGAAAGTGAGTCTGATCTGGAAACAGTGGGGGTCAGTGACCTTGTCTACCTGTAATCACTGATGATGTGGGAAGTGGGTGTGACATGGAAATCTAGATGTAGCTGTCACAATGGAGACATCCAGCGAGGCAGGTGTGCAGAGTCATGTTGACCATTTTCTTTATTCTTGTGTGGTGATGCATCTCAAGTACTTACCACAAGGCCAGAACATTATCAAAGTCTACCTTGGGATGAATTATTTTCATGATGCTGTGCCAAACAAGAAGTCAGACCTCTGGGCAAAGATAATTTAGCAACACTCATAACACACCTGCCCTCTCTTCTCATCTAAATCAGATTTTCTGGACTAAATGCAAAACATATGTCTAATTCACACAGACTTGGTACATTACACACAAATAGTAGGTTATCACACAGCATATATTGCCAGATGTACACATATGTTGGATGATCACGCATGATACACACAGAGACAGAGGTGATCACACAGGAAAAATTACTTGATGTGAAGAGACAGAGGTGATCACACACATGAAACATTACTTGATACACAGAGGCACTGATGATCATACATGATACATTACTTGGTTCACAGACATTTAGCAATCACACATGGCGCATTGTTTGTGATAGAAACCTGTGCCAGATTTTTCTCCATTAATATGTTTAGTATCTTTCTAACAGCCAACTTGGGCTCTTGAGAAAGCGACCATTGTCACTGATGTCACCACGACAGACCTCCAAGCGACAGAAAACAGGTAATAACTGCTGTAGTTTTCATTCACCCAGAGAGCCACTGTACTTGTTAGGGGCCACCTCTGGGACATTTCACTAGAACTAAGTTGACTCAGGGGGCCAAAATGTTCAAAAATGAGCATCGTCACAGGCCAGGAGCCCCAGCAGCATAGAAAGACCATAAATGCAGTATAACTAGTAGTGATCTGCAGGCCACTTGTTAGGCCTTGGCAGGCCAGATTTGGCCCGGGGGCTGCCAGTTGAATAGCCCCACACTAGAGGATCAGTACTCAATAAACAGTTATGTTCCATGTTATGTAGTATTGTGTACACAAGTGGGTTATCATGTAGTATTGTGAAACAAAAGTGGGATATCATGTAGTATTGTGTACACAAGTGGGATATCATGTAGTATTGTGAAACAAAAGTGGGATATCATGTAGTATTGTGAAACAAAAGTGGGATATCATGTAGTATTGTGTACACAAGTGGGTTATCATGTAGTATTGTGAAACAAAAGTGGGATATCATGTAGTATTGTGTACACAAGTGGGATATCATGTAGTATTGTGAAACAAAAGTGGGATATCATGTAGTATTGTGAAACAAAAGTGGGATATCATGTAGTATTGTGTACACAAGTGGGATATCATGTAGTATTGTGAAACAAAAGTGGGATATCATGTAGTATTGTGAAACAAAAGTGGGATATCATGTAGTATTGTGAAACAAAAGTGGGATATCATGTAGTATTGTGAAACAAAAGTGGGATATCATGTAGTATTGTGAAACAAAAGTGGGATATCATGTAGTATTGTGTACACAAGTGGGGTATCATGTAGTATTGTGTACACAGGTGGGATATCATGTAGTATTGTGTACACAAGTGGATTGTCATGTAGTATTGTGAAACAAAAGTGGGATATCATGTAGTATTGTGTACACGAGTTGGATATCATGTATTCTGTACATAATGAGGTGTCCTCTGAAATTATGTGCACAAGTGGGATGTCAAGAAGAGTTATGTCACTGGTAAAATGTCATTTTGTATTCTGTGCAAAAATGATGTGTCATAGACACAACTGGGAATTCAGAGAACACTATACTTGTTAATATGTCAGGGAACAAGAAATTTTCCACCAGTGTGACAGTAGTTGAGACATATCCCAACTGCTCTTGTATTATGTCATCCACAGGGTAATCTTGGGACCGTAATGGTATGTCATCAAGAGGTAATCTTGGTCTCCTATATCGTATCATGGGGGGGGGGGGTAACCCCAGGGTGTGATCTTGGAACTCTTATGTCATCTTTGTTCCATAATTAACAGTAGCCATCATCATCATGCACAGATCAGCAATAGGTCAGGCTGAGTTCAATAAAACTTTCACCAGTGAGTTGACAGGCTAGTGGTACATCTCCAGCCTTCATTAAATTCCAGTTACATGTTGCTTACCTCATGTACACAGTGTCTGGGGGATGTGATCTCTCATAGGCATTGGCTGTACTATACTTTGTTCTGTGGTATCGTATATCAAAGTTCACACATGTGGCTGGCTCATTGTGTTTTCTTAGACCAGATGTTCGCATGTCTGATCCCCCTCATTATTATATCTCAAACCTTATGTTCACACATCTGATTGTCATTGTGTTTTCTCAGACCTTATGTTCACACATCGGATTGTCCGCATTTTGCTTTCTGAGATCTTATGTTCACACATTTGATTGTCCTCATTTTGTTTTCTTCGACCAGGTGTTAACACATCTGATTGTTCTTTTGCTTTCTCACACCAGGTGTTCACACATCTGATTGTTCTTTTGCTTTCTCACACCAGGTGTTAACACATCTGATTGTTCTTTTGCTTTCTCACACCAGGTTTTCACACATCTGATTGTTTTTGTGCTTTCTCACACAAGGTGTTCACACATCTGATTGTTCTTGTGTTTTCTCACACCAGGTGTTCACACACCTGATTGTTCTTTTGCTTTCTCACACCAGGTTTTCACACATCTGATTGTTTTTGTGCTTTCTTACACAAGGTGTTCATACATCTGATTGTTCTTGTGTTTTCTCACACCAGGTGTTCACACACCTGATTGTTCTTGTGCTTTCTCACACCAGGTGTTCACACATCTGATTGTTTTTGTGTTTTCTCACACCAGGTGTTCACACATCTGATTGTTCTTGTGCTTTCTCACACCAGGTGTTCACACATCTGATTGTCCATGTATTTTCTCAGACCAGGTGTTCACACATCTGATTATCCTTGACTTTGAGTCCACTTGCTGGGAGACTGACAGGACCAGCCCTCAGGAAATCAGTAAGTGTTGTATCCACTGTGGGACAGTGTTGTATCACCTATGTCACAGTGTTGTATCACCCATGTGACAGTGTTCTAGTGTTGTATCACATTGTATCCACCGTATGACAGTATTGTATCGACCATGTGACAGAGTTGTATTCACTGACTGTCAGTGTCATAGTGTTGTATCACCATAGTGACAGTGTTGTATCACCCATGCGACTGTGTTGTGTCCACCGTATGACAGTTTTGTATCCACTGTGTGACAGTATTGTATCCACCGTGTGAGAGTTGTATTCACTGACTGACAGTTTTGTAGTGTTGTATCACCCATGTGACAATGTTGTATTCACTGTGTGACAGTGTTGAATTATCTGTGTAACTGTTGTATCCTCTGACTGAGTGTTGTTGTGTTGTGTCACCGTTGTGACAGTGTTTATCACACATGTGGCTGTGTTGTATACATTGTGCAACAGTATTGTAGCCACCATGTGTCACCCATGTGAATGTGTCAGTGTTGTATCCACTTACTGACAGTGTTCTAGTGTTGTATCACCATAGTGACAATTTTGTATCACCCATGTGTGACAGTATTGTATCCACTGTGTGACAGAGTTGAATTCACTGACTGACAGTGTTATAATGGTGTATCCCCCATTTAACAGTGATGTATCCACAATGTGCAGTGTTATATCACCAGTGTGATAATGGTGTATCCCCCATGTAACAGTGATGTATCCACAATGTGCAGTGTTATATCACCAGTGTGATAATGGTGTATCCCCCATGTAACAGTGATGTATCCACAATGTGCAGTGTTATATCACCAGTGTGATAATGGTGTATCCCCCATGTAGCAGTGTTATATCACCAGTGTGATGGATGTCATATCACCCATGTGGCAATGTTAAATCACCCATGTGTCAGTGTTGTAGTTTTGTATCACCCATGTGATAGTGTTGCATCACCCATATGACAGTGTTGTATCACCCATTTGATAGTATTGTATCACCCATGTGACAGTATTGTATCACCCATATGACAGAATTATATCACCCATGTGACAGTATTGCATCACCCATATGACAGTATTGTATCACCCATGTGATAGTATTGTATCACCCATGTGACAGTATTGTATCACCCATATGACAGAATTATATCACCCATGTGACAGTATTGTATCACCCATATGACAGTATTGTATCACCCATGTGATAGCATTGTATCACCCATATGACAGTATTGTATCACCCATATGACAGTATTGTATCACCCTAATGACAGTATTGTATCACCCATGTGGCAGTTTTGTAACCACCTGTTACAGTGTAGTATCTAACATGTGACAGTTGAAAATTTGTATAACCATGTATGTGGTAGTTGTATGTGCTGAGTTGTTAGCTTGCTGTTCTCTTGGGTCATATCACAGATACGTACTAACATAGAAGTCTCTGACATGCCACAGATACAGAAGGCTCTGACTTGTCATAGACACAAAAGTCTTTTTAACTTTTCATAAATACAGAATTTCTCACTTTATCATTAACACAAAAATCTCTTCTTCTTCTTTTGTTCGCCTGAAATAAGTTGTCTATATCAGCAATTTTGTCTCTTGTATAAATTTCACTGTTGTTAATTTATTCAGTGGTCCATAGAGTTTACGTTCAGCTGTTGTTCTTTCTGGCCAAAAGGTTTGCCTTAATGTGTCAAATTTAGTGCAGTCCTGGAGTACATGCTCTGCTGTCTGGGGCACCTTTCCACAGGTGCACATGGCTGATACGCCTGTCTTAAATTTTGAGTACATGTGGTTACGTAATCGGTTGTGCCCTGTTCACAAAAATCTCTAACTTGTCACAACTACTTACAGACACAATAGTGTCTAACGTCACAGCTACTTCATCATCATCAGGTGCCTTGCCGACTGGCATTGGCTATCATGCCTCTCCATAATCTGCGATCTCCTGCAGCATGTATCAGTTCGTGTGCCGACACACCTCCACTCCATGCAACAAGACTGTCAATCATCTTCTCTCGTTGTCTTCCTCTATCTCTCCTTCCACAGATCTTTCTAGTGGTCACAACATGTTCTGTTTTCCCTCTTCTCATAACATGGCCGAAAAATGATGACTGTCTCCTTCTGATGTCTGTGATAAGTTGTCTTCGGGCTCCCGCCTCTTTCAAAACCTCTTGGTTGCTCTTTTTGGCTGTCCAAGGTATTCTAAGCATTCTTCTGTAAAACCACATCTCTGAGGCCTCTAGAAATTGTTTGGCCTGCCTACCGATTGTCCAGGATTCACAGCCATATGTTAAAACTGGATGTATGTAGCAAGCAAGAATTCTTTTTCTAACTCTCAATGAAAAGGATATATTGCACAAGATGTTTTTCATTTTATAAAATGCAGTTTTTGCCTGTCCTATTCTGTTTCTTATCTCAGTTATGCATCTTCCATCTGATGTTATCCATGTGCCCAGATACTTAAATTTCTGTACCTGTCCTAAAATAACACCATCAACTTTTATTACACACTTAGGAATAATTCATTTCTTTGATACCACCATCACTTCTGTCTTCCCATTATTCAAACTGAGGCCCATTTCTGACTTGTTGCTATCAGGACTGTGTCATCAGCTTAACGTAAATTGTTTATATTGTGCCCACCAACCACAATTCCGGGCATACTAATTAAACATCTCATTATATATTCACTGTATATTGAAAACAAATCAGGTGACAGTACACATTCTTGTCATACGCCTCTCTTTATGCTTTGAAATGTACCTAAACAGTTGTTAATTCTTATAGCTGCTGTTTGCTGCCAATACATATTCTTTATTATTCGTAGATCTTTCCCATCAATGTTTAATTTTTCTAACAGTTTGATTACTTCTTCATGCTTCACACAGTCAAATGCTTTTTTATAGTCTATGAAGCATATGTACAAATCAGTACTTACAGACACAAAAGACTCTAACGTCACAGCTACTTACAGCTTACAGACACACAAAAATCTAACTTGTCGCAACTACTTACAGACTCAATAGTCTCTAACTTGTCACTAGCTACTTACAGGCACAAAAGTCTCTAATTTGTCACTAGCTACTTACAGGCACAAAAGTCACCAAATTGTCCCAGCTACTTACAGACACGGAAGTCTCTAACCTGTTTCTAATAATGCTAGTTAGGGAATTCCACTAGAGAGGAGATGACATCGTGGTGAACACCCAGTTCGCATAAGTTATATTATTTGTCCAGATTAGAAAATAGTGGCCAAGTAAAGGTTGAATTAAGGCTGACATGTAATACGAGATTGTGTGATCGGAGAATATATGAGTTCAGTGAATTTAACTTTTTGGGCAGAAGAGAGGGAGAGAAAACCAAGCATTCGATACTAGACGTCTAAATGAGATAGGGTGTTTGTGTGTTAAAAAACGGACTGAGTGCCTTTGTGAATAAATAAACTACGCCTTTGGCGAATACCTGGAGAGAGGAACTAGAAGTGGCCATTGGCCAGGGAACGACTGCTACCCTTAAATTGAAGAAATGATTGACTGCATCCAGTCAAGTGATATGTGCAAGAATTTATTGGAGCGAATGGCATATTGTACTTGTAAGTAGCAGAATGAGTGACAAGGAATTGATTGGTGAATAGTGCAAGTAACTCAGTAGTACCTAGACAGCAATAACTGCCAACAGTGACTGTTAGATGTTCTGGAATACTAAATAAACTTTGACACATAATTCAGTGGTGTTCATACCCGTCAGTTGTGGATTTTAGTATGTATAGTTCTATGCCTGTAGATACAGAAACTTAACAGGTTCCTGGTAAAAGCAGTGTTGCTGAGCCAATAAAAGGGAGAGTGTTAAAATAACAAGAGCTCACTCGACCCAAAGAGTTGCATTGTCATAGATACTCACAAAACACAAATATGACCATGTTTTTCATTGTTCATTGCTGTCTTCTCATTGTTCATTGCTCTGTTTGTCATCTAATTGATGAGTTTGTCAATGGTTGTTTGGGTTTTTTAACAAAACATGAATGTGGCTTGCTTTATATTTTCGTCCCAGTTGAATTCCCTGCCGTTCTGCTGAACACACAGACTGGACAGATAGAGAGTGAGTTTCACTATTTCTTGCAGCCGTCAGAGAGACCTGTTCTCAGCGAGTTCTGCCAGAAACTCACAGGTATAACCCAGGTGAGTGTATGGTGGTCTACTCCGCATAGTGTTGTTGTGCACACAAGCTCACAGGTGTAACCCAGGTAAGTGTGTTGTGCTCTACCCCACATAGTGTTGTTGTTTACACAAGTTGACAGGTATAACCCAGGTGAGTGTATGGTGCTCTCCCCCACATAGTGTTGTGTACACAAGTTGACAAGTGTAACCCAGGTGAGTGTATGGTGCTCTCCCCCACATAGTGTTGTGTACACAAGTTGACAAGTGTAACCCAGGTGAGTGTATGGTGCTCTCCCCCACATAGTGTTGTTGTGTACACAAGTTGACAGGTGTAACCCAGGTGAGTGTATTGTGCTCTCCCCCACATAGTGTTGTTGTGTACACAAGTTGACAGGTGTAACCCAGGTGAGTGTATGGTGCTCTCCCCCACATAGTGTTTTTGTACACAAGTTGACAAGTGTAACCCAGGTGAGTGTATGGTGCTCTCCCCCACATAGTGTTGTTGTGTACACAAGTTGACTGGTGTAACCCAGGTAATTGTATGGTGCTCTCCCCCACATAGTGTTGTGTACACAAGTTGACTGGTGTAACCCAGGTGATGGTATGGTGCTCTCCCCCACATAGTGTTGTTGTGTACACAAGTTGACTGGTGTAACCCAGGTGATGGTATGGTGCTCTCCCCCACATAGTGTTGTTGTGTACACAAGTTGACTGGTGTACCCAGGTAAGTATGGTGCTCTGCCCTGCATAGTGTTGTTTACATAAGCTGACAGGTGTACCCATGTGTTTAATTCCCTCCTTTTTTCCATGACATAATAGCTGATTGAGATATCTCGATCCTACCCACTCCCTGCCTTCAGACTCAGGCATAGTTGATGTCTTGATTCTTGTATAGACAGGGTTGATGCCCTGATTCATGTATAGACAGTCGATGCCTTGATTTTTGTATAGACAGAGTTGATGATGCCTTATTTCTTGTATAGACAGAGTTAATGCCCTGATTCATGTATAGACAGTCGATGCCTTGATTTTTGTATAGACAAAGTCAGTGCCTTGATGCTTGTATAGACAGAGTTGATGATGCCTTGATTCTTGTATAGACAGAGTTGATGCCTTGATTCTTGTATAGACAGTCGATGCCTTGATTTTTGTATAGACAAAGTCAGTGCCTTGATGCTTGTATAGACAGAGTTGATGATGCCTTGATTCTTGTATAGACATAGTCGATGCTTTGATTCTTATATAGACATAGTTGGTGCCTTGATTCTTATATAGACATAGTCGATGCCTTGTTTCTTGTATAGACATAGTCAATGCCTTGATTTTTGTATAAACATAGTAGATGCCCTGTTTCTTGTATAGACAAAGTCGGTGCCTTCATTCTTGTAAAGACATAGTCGATGCCTTGATTCTTATATAGACAGAGTCGATGCCTTGTTTCTTGTATAGACAAAGTCGGTGCCTTCATTCTTGTAAAGACATAGTCGATGCCTTGATTCTTATATAGACAGAGTCGATGCCTTGTTTCTTGTATAGACAAAGTCAATGCCTTGTTTCTTGTATAGACATAGTCGATGCGTTGTTTCTTGTATAGACAAAGTCGGTGCCTTGATTTTTGTAAATAGTCGGTACCTTGATTCTTGTATAGACATTGTTGGTACCTTGATTCTTGTATAGACATAGTTGATTCCTTGTTTCTTGTATAGACAAAGTCGATGCCTTGTTTCTTGTATAGACAAAGTCGATGCCTTGTTTCTTGTATAGACAAAGTCGATGCCTTGTTTCTTGTATAGACAAAGTCGATGCCTTGTTTCTTGTATAGACATAGTCGATGCCTTGTTTCTTGTATAGACAAAGTCGGTGCCTTGATTTTTGTATATAGTCGGTGCCTTGATTCTTGTATAGACATAGTCGATTCCTTGATTCTTGTATAGACATAGTCGATGCCCTGTTTCTTGTATAACTGTAGTTGATGCCTTGATTTGTGTATAGGCGTAGCTGACATGATTCTCCCCCTAAAATAATTTAGGCAGATTGACTATGAAATTCAGTGACTGAAACAAATTGTTGTAGTTTAAGGGTGACTAAACCAAACTTATTGTGACTCAGTGTGATTTTGATTGAAAGTTAATTGCGATAACTACACACACACACACACACAATGATTGTGAAACGAACATTATTGTGATACATAAATTAGTGTTTGTGAAACAAACCTGGCAGTAGCTGTGTGTGTATTTGTTGTGGCAGGATCAAGTGGACAATGGGATACCTCTGTCTTTGTGTCTGAGGAAGTTTACTGCCTGGCTGAGGAGACTCCATGTTGACAAGGGCCTGGTCTGTTCTGGCGACAAATCTGTACAAGCCACTAGGTCTGACAGCCAGACAGTCGTTAACAAGGGAAGCACTGCAGCCATGGTCACCTGGTCAGGTTAGTCTCATACTGACAGGGCACAGCTATAATGGACCAATCATCATGTCACTAGAGCTGGACAAACTCGACATCTAACTGTCGTTATCAATTTTTAAAAATTTGTGTATTGTCGTCTCACTAAAACCAGGTTGTAGCTCAGTGTCATGGTTTTTCTGTATTTGTCTTGCGCTTCTCGGGTGGCTTGGGTGATGGATTTGTTCCCCTTTTTACAAGTCAGCTCCACCATTTATCCATATTTTCCTGGTCTTTCTCTCAGACATTCTGCTGTAAAAAGTGTCATATGCAGCTTTCTCACTAGATGGCCAAACCGTTTCATTCTTTGTCCCAATATAATTCAGGCAGTCCTTTCTCTCTAATGCTGTTATTCATAACCCTTCCCTTCTTTTGTTGTTACTTTCATTATCAACACACACAAATGCAGTACACAACTGTCAGAAGATGTCAGATACACACACACACACACATGGCTGCCAGAAAATGATTCTGATAACTTCCAAAAGTGATATTTTCTCCTGCCACATCATAGTTTATTCAGAATGTGGAGCAGACTTCAGGATGGCACCAGTCATGTTCTAGTTCGGGGGGGGGGGTCTTAAGTATATGTTAACAATGGAGAAAGCTGCTCTATGTATATACATATATATAGGTACTTATATATATTGAGGTACATATATATATATATATATATATACACACACACACAAAATATATTAACACTTCAGACAGTTCAGCTGCTATACAGTATGCACATGTAGTATGTATGTGCGCGTGTGTGCATGTATGAGTTTGTATAGTTGTATGCATTCATGTTTATCTGGAAGTATAAGTGCACATACAACACATTAATACTTGAGACAGCTGCTATACAACATATACATACAACACATTAACACTTGAGACAGTAGCTATACAATTTACACAATCAACACATTAATACTTGAGACGGTTGCTATACTTCTTCTTCTTCTTCTGCGTTCGATATCAGTCATGCTAAACATTGAGTCCCGTCTGGGTCACAAATAGGATTGTGCGTTTAAGGTCGCCACCGGTCGCCCATAGCTTCTCTTGCAATGTGGCTCCTTTGGGCCAGATCCACAGTCTTTGCTGGGAGAGGTTTGGGCAGTACTGTAGTATGTGCTCTGGGGTTTGTCTTTCTGCTCCACAATCACAGGCAGCAGATTCTTTTATGCCTATCCTGTACAAGTGTGCTCGAAGACCACAGTGTCCAGTCCGAAGTCTAAAAATTGATGTTTGTTCTTTCCTGTTGAGTTTGTTTATGCTGTCACTCTCTGGTCTGTAATCACCATTCTGCCTTCTCCACTCCCGCTTGAAAGACTGCTTTAGCGCTGTTTTGGTTTCCTTGTAGCTGTGTGGTGGATGAGGTTGTGGAAGATTACTCCCAGCTTTTGCCAACTCATCTGCTCTCTCATTTCCTTGAATACCACAGTGGGCTGGTATCCACTGCAAGACCAATTCTGCTTCCTTGGAGAGTAAGCCAATGGTTGCTATACAACATCCCCAAAAGCGCATTACCACTTGAGACCGTTCCTATACAACATACACATACAGCGCATTAACACTTGAGACCGTTCCTATACAACATACACATACAGCGCATTAACACTTGAGACAGTTCCTATAAAATATACACTTACAGCACCTTAACACGTGTGACAGCTGCTATACAACATACACATACAGCACATTAACACTTAAAACGGTTGCTATACAACACATTAACACTTGAGACAGTTGCTATGCAACACACACATACAGCACATTAACACATACAACAGCTGCTATACACATTAACACTTGAGAAGTTGCTATACAACATACACATACAACACATTTAATCATTTGACTGCAGTTCTGTGCCAAAGTGCACATCACTTGACGTGACATGTTGGTGTAAGCTGGTTCATTAAAGGTGGGAAAAGTGACTGACGTCAGGTGTTCATTGTTTGACCTTGTGCCCACAGACTGGGACCTTGGCGTCTGCCTGCTGTATGAAACTAAGAGGAAGCAGATGAGCCGGCCACCATCTCTGACCCAGTGGATTGATCTGAGAGCCACATACAAGGTCAGGTTTCTTTAGCATCGCCAGATTTTTTTGTCCCAGGGTGTCCCGGCATACATAGGGTAGAGTGTCTTGGCATACTGAGAAAAAAAAAGCATTCCCATTTCTTTGCTCTCTCAGTGCTTGTGACATCTCCATTATAGAGGCTTGCATGGCTATCATGATCAACAGTTTTTCATTACCAAGATTTTCTCTTCCAAGCTGAAATCATCACCATTAACACCCCACCCCTGCCTGCATGACTGTTATTAGAAGTATGCTCTTTAGGTAGCTTTTCATCTTCTGTACTCTCCCCAGAACCCTTACAGTCTGGAATAGAGGCAGAATCATTATTTCAAGAGTAGAATATATCAATCTTGTTAGTCCTATCCAGTCATTGTGTGGCTTCATTAGAATATTGTATAAGATCAGCCCCTTTGTTTTTCAACTGCCAGGTTGTCATTCCACAGTGACACTCTACATGTTGCTGTGTGTGTCGTGTATGTTGCTTTGTGTGTCTTCTGTGTTCCTCCATGTGTCATGTATGATGTGTGTCATGTATGTCATGTGTCAATGTTCTCCATGTGTCATATATACTAACCATGTCATGTTGTTTCCCTTGTGTGTCATGTATGTTTCTCTAAATGTTGTGCATGTTCCTCTGTATGTCATGTGCCAGTTATGATGCTTGTGTCATGTATTTGGTTGTGTGTGCTATGTATGTGTCTTTGTATGTCATGTATGTTCCTTTGTGTGTCATTATGTTTCTCCCTGTGTCATGTATGTTCCTCTATATATCATGTATGCTCTTCCATATGTTGTGTATGTAGCTCTGTATGTCATGGGTCTACGGATCTGACACAGTAAATTCACTCAGATACTTACTTACTTCAGTCACTTCTCTTCTACCTTTGGGTATAGAGGTTTGCCAGAGAGATGACCAGCATCTTTTTTCTGGCTTTGTTCCATTCCAGCAGGCCCTCTTGGACTGGTTCCCAGGTTCTTAGCCTGCCATGGTCGCCGATTTTCTACCATTCTGCATTCATGTCCTGATCATTGTAACTGTAACTGATCCACTCGAGTTTGTCAGGCCTGGGTTTCAAGATCTTGACCTATTGTCTAATTGCGAACTTTGTCCCTTCTTGTTAATTGGACCACCTTTCTGAGATATCTAATTTCTGAGGCATGCAGCTGGCTTCTGTGAGCTGAGAAACCCTCAGTTTGTGGCCTGGGCCTGGAAAAGTCTTCCAGCAGCTGCCTTTCGAGAATCTAGCTCTTCTTAATGCCTCCATTTTGGTCTATAACTCCAAGATATTTGAACTGATTGACTTGCTCCAGTGCATCCTGTCCCATCATGATCTGTTATTTCTTCTCCTCTCTTGAGATCGATAGTCATCCCTCTCTTCTCAAACTGTTCCTTCCAAACAAGTAAGTTGGATTGCAGCTGTGCCTCTTATTTAGCTGTAGGGGCCACATCATCTGCAAATAGTGGTTCTAAAATAAAGATTGGTCTCATCTACCAGTACCCTACTGAGTACTTCTTTGTCTTCTCCTTATGACATCATCCATCATAAGAATGAAGAGGTATGGTGAGAGAATATCCCCTTGTCTAACACTGCTAGTGGTCTTAAATTCTTCATTTGCCGTTCTTACATAATTTCTCTGCCTTTTGTAACTCTATATTACTGATCAGGAGTGCTGGAATGTGTTTCCCTGCCAAGCAGTCCCATAGCTTACTCCAGAGAATCTTATCAAATACCTTTAGATCCAAAAAACTTTGATGCATCTCACTATTAGAGGGCTTTTTCACTCATCTGTCTGAGTGTAAAGATAAGGTCTTGAGTACTTTGGTTTGCTCAGAAGCTGCATTGGACCTGATCAAGCTGTGGTTCTGTCAGTCTATGCTCAAGAATTCTTCTTCTTCTTCTTCTTCTTTGCTTTCGGTTTCGTAAGCTCAGATCAGACCATCAGGGGGATTGCTTCTATGAACTCGCATGTCAGTAGCGAGTCCTTCATGGTTCCCCACAGCTTGCTCTGCACACTTTTCTCTTTAGGCCAGGTTTCTTTTCTAAATTGCAGCTAGAGTGGGCAAGTCTGCAGAATGTCCTCAGGTATTTGTTGTCCTGTCTGACAGGCACACTGTGGGAAATTGTACAGTCTTTATTTTATGCATGTGGTAGTTGAGACTGCAGTGGCCTGTTTGTAGACAGAAAATTGTTGTATGCTGCTTTCTGTTAAGTCTGCTGACAGGGTCTTGTGGGTGTTTACTGTTGGTTTGTTCTATCCACAATTCCTTTTATTTTCTCTTGATGAATGTTTTGATTTCTGGTAAAGACAGTGAATGAATGTGTTGTTTCTCCTTTGTTCCATTTTTTGCAAGTCTGTCTGCTAACTCATTTCCTGGTATGCCGCAGTGAGCCGGGATCCACTGGAGAATGATTTGACCATTTTCTGAGTATGCTTCAAAATATAGAGTAACTTTTACCGGCAACATTGAGAGCTATATCTGTGGAAATCACATTGTCTTCTATTACCCTTTTTGAATATATAGGTATAATGATTGAAATCTCCTAATATTCTTGTATAGTTTTACTACACCAGGCTGCCTGGAGAACCTTCAAGAGAGGTCATTCACCTGCAACTCCCATATATTTGACTATCTCTGGTGTTATACCATCATGTCCTGCTGTTTTCCCCAGCTTAATCTTCTCAATAGCTGTCTTCACTTCTTCCATCCTGATGTTATCCCCATGGATGATTTCCTTTTCTGTAGGGAGGTCCATTATTTCTGGGACATGACTTTCCACAACTCTGAGAAGTATTCTTTCCATCTATCCATGATATCATTTGTAGTAGTAAGCAGAGCCCCTTCCTTGTCTTTTATGAATATCAGCTGGCATTCTTTCTCCTTTCTCATCTTCTTGAGGGTCTTGTAGAGTAGGATTTTGATTTTCTCTTGCATTCTTTTAAAGCTTTCTCCAAATTCTTCCCATGATTTATGTTTTGCATTAAGTATTTTTGGCATCTGTTCTGAGTGCCACATATTGTTTATATTTCTCTGTGACTTCAGCTGTGTATCTAGTTGCCAGGTATTGCTTCCATGCCTTTTTCTTTTCTCTTATTTTCAGTTTGACTTCTTCTGTCCACCAAAGTGTCCTGTGTCCTGTCCTGTCACTTGGGACTTCACCGCATGCTTCTACTGCTTCTGTGAAGATATTCTTGAATCTGCACCAGAGGGTTTCAGTGTCCTTTGACTGTTCTTCTTAAATTCCTATTACTCATACAATACGCTACTGGGATGTTATCTCAAGGTCTCTAAGGTCTCCCCCAAAGCTTAGGGGTCAGGTCTACTGGATGTTGCCATATGTTGCTCCACAGCTCTGCCAAGAGAGGACGGTCTTGAAGGACATGTTCTGGAGGTCCTCTCATGACTCTGGCATCTCACAAACTTGAAGGAACTTTTCCTTACTTTGGCATAGTCGATGATGGATTTATCATTCTTTGTTAACATCTAGTAAACTTTTGTGGGGGAATTTTGTCTTTGTAATGACAAGGTTCTGTTCCCTGCAGAATCTAAGAAGTTGCTTGCCATTGTCATTCAAAACATTTTCACCATTTCTCCCGATCTTTCCACCCCATTTAGAGTGATCATTTCCTACTCTGGCATTTAGATCTCTGATGAGAATAATTTTGTGACAATCATATTTGATCTTTTGGAGCGGTTCAAAAATATTCTTCTTTGACATCTGCTTGCTCGTCTTCAATTGGCCTGTACACAATGACAGTATTGACAGTTTTATCTTCTTCTTTCAGATCTAACACCATAATTCACTTCGAAATGAATTTCCTTCCCTTGATGTTACTAACTTGATTCCTGACAACAATACAGCCAACACCGCCTTTGACTCTCTCCGTCATAGGGACATCGCTGTAGAGCAGCATACTTCCATCGTGGTCTGTGACTCCCTGCCCCTTTTTCTTGGTTTCAGTCAGAGCCAAGATTCCTAATTTTGTTTTTCTCATCTCCTTATTACCTCATTTTCCTTCCCGTTAATGCTTTGTATGTTCCATGTTCCGTACATCGTATTCCGTAAGCCATGCCAGTTCGTCACTGTTAGATCTGTTCGGTTTTCTTCTGTGGTAACCTGTAATCGTAGTTTCAGGCAAACATGTGCATGGCCATTTGTGCCTTTGTGTGGTGGAGGGGCTGCCTTCTTGTGGTCTCCATGCAGACTGTCTGGCGGATTCATGGTTATCAACTATTTCTGGAGACGCATGAAGCACTCAGGTTCAGCCAGACCTTCCTCCTTTTACAGCCGGGCTTGGGATTGGTGTTGGTGATGTTGAATTCGCTCAGATATGAATATCTTTGTTTATCATTGATACAGAGACTTGCATGTTTCAGCTCTATTCAACAGATTTTCTCGTCAAATGGGAACAGTGAGCATGTTGTCCAAATATTCAGTGAGTGCTGTTTCGACCTCACATACTTTTTTTATTGTTTTATTGCAGGTATTTTATGGCCGTAAACCCGCAGGGTTGAATGGTGCACTGAATGAGCTTGGCATCACATTTGATGGCAGGCAACATTCCGGTGAGGTTTTATATATTATTTTGTCAAAGTGTCTTATCTGTAATGTCATGTAACTGTCACATGTCAGTCACCATTACTGTATTTTCAGTGGTATTTTGTTGTATGTTTGTTAATATTGGCATGTAATTAATTTATATTACATGTTTATTGTGTATTATACTAATGACTATCATGTAGTTTCAAGTGGCGTGTGAGAGATTACAGACATTTTATTGTTGTCGTGGCAGGTCTGGATGATGCACGAAACACAGCCAGACTGGCGTGGCAGATGATACAAGATGGCTGCCTGATGTCTGTCACAAAGTCTGTCAGGACGGTATGTGGGTCATAGGTAATGGGTACATGATGTCTTTCATAGCAGTGTGGGGAGGGCTTGTGGTAGGTGTGGGATGTCAGGGCAGTGTTCGGGTTGTAGGTAATGGGTACACGATATCTTTCATAGCAGTGTGGGGAGGGCTTGTGGTAGGTGTGGGATGTCAGGGCAGTGTTCCGGTGGTAGGTAATGGGTACATGATGTCTTTCATAGTGTGGGGATGGCTTGTGGTGGATGTGGGATATCAGATCTATATGTGGGTTGTAGGTAAAAGGTACATGATATTTTTCAAAGCAGTGTGGGGGATGGCTTGTGGTAGGTGTGGGATGTCAGATCTATATGTGGGTTGTAGGTAATGGGTACATGATGTCTTTCATAGCAGTGTGGGGATGGCTTGTGGTGGATGTGGGATATCAGATCAATATGTGAGTTGTAGGTAAAGGGTACATGATGTCTTTCATAGCAGTGTGGGGAGGGCTTGTGGTAGGTGTACGATGTCAGGGCAGTGTTCGGGTGGTAGGTAATGGGTACATGATGTCTTTCATAGTGTGGGGATGGCTTGTGGTAGGTGTGGGATATCAGATCTATATGTGGGTTGTAGGTAAAGGGTACATGATGTTTTTCAAAGCAGTGTGGGGGATGGCTTTTGGTAGGTGTGGGATGTCAGATCTATATGTGGGTTGTAGGTAATGGGTACATGATGTCTTTCATAGCAGTGTGGGGATGGCTTGTGGTATATCAGATCTATATGTGGGTTGTAGGTAATGGGTACATGATGTCTTTTATAGCAGTGTGGGGATGGCTTGTGGTAGATGTGGGATGTCAGATCTATATGTGGGTTGTAGGTAATGGGTACATGATGTCTTTTATAGCAGTGTGGGGAAGGCTTGAAACAGATATCTGATGTCAGGACAGTGTTTGTATTGTCTGTCCTAACATCTGTCAGACGATGTCTAGCTTACACTTATATAGTAAAGAACCCTTTCCAAGCCTTTGGGGAATATTGGGCATATAGGGCTAAATCTATATTTTATAGACCAGTTGGCACTCGGTGGGTGATGCGGTAAACACCACGCCAGCCGCCTTTACTTCCCAAGGCTATACCCGGTACCCACTCAAGTCTTGGTTGACCCGGGAGCCATGGTCGTATTTGAAAAAAATCAGGTTCCGTCAGGACCCGAACCATCACTTTCCAATCTGCAGATGCTTTTCAGGCCAGAAATGCATCAGGTAAATGTTGCTAGACTCAAATGTATATAGACCAGGAGCTACACCAAGGGGTCATGTGATCAAAACCACCAATTTTAGGATGGATAGACCAAGTTTCATCAGTTTGTTGTTTGTTTGGTTTTTTTGTGTGTGGTCTTTTCGCTTAAGAAAAACTGTCCTGGTGTGGAATGAAACCCAAGACCTTTGGGCTGGCTGATGATCATTATAGTTGTATAATGTACTTTGGATTAACAGCACCTTGCTTATTTACTTATACTGTTAACAAGACTGATGCTAGCTAACCTAACAGTGACAGTACTCCCATTTCTCTGGCTAACCTGACAGCGACCGTTTCCTATTTCTCTGGGTCATCTAGCAGTGACAGTTTCCCATTTCTCTGGGCCACCTGACAGTGACAGTTATCCTTTTCTCCTGGGTCACCTTTCAGTGACCATTTCTCTCAATCACTCAATTGCCAGTGACTGTTTCCCATTTCTCTGGTCAGCCTGACAGTGACCATTTCCCATTTCTGTGGCTAACCTGACAGCGACCATTTCCCATTTTCTGAGTCACCTAACAGTGACAGTATCCCATTTCTCTTGCCAACCTAACAGTGACAGTTTTTCATGTCTCTAGCCAACCTGACAGTGACAGTTCCTCATTTCTCTTGCTAACCTGACAGTAACATTTTCTCATTTCTCTTGCTAACCTGACAATGACAGTTTACTAGCTAATGTGACAATCCCATTTCTCTAGCTAACTTGACAGTGACAGTTTACTAGCTAACATGACAGTGACAGATGTATCCAGACATATGAAAATGTACAGGCTTCATAAAGGTGTCAGCAGCAGGGATAACTTCCTAGCGAGAAGCATACATAGGTAACTATCAGGTCATTTTGTCTATCAGGCGTGGAAGTAATGTGGGGCTCCACACATGCAAGAGGATTGTGTCTGATATGTGAACTGGTGCTTGCTGTTCTTCTTGCAGAGTTTTACTGGCCTGATAGAAAAGCAGTCAATGCCTCCGTCAGGCCCCACTTTTACTAGCCTGCAGACACACACCCCAGCTGATGGTAGGGGCAAAACTGGACATTATGTGACAGCCTACGCCAATGCCAGAACTCCGTTTGTCATTGCTTGTGATAGTCAAGAAAGAAGACAGTTATGTGATAAAAAAGTCCAGGCACAGCTCACAGCAGGTACAGATCCCCTGCTGACAGCAGTTTTACTTTCAGATACTTCTGTGGCAGCTTATGCACAAACAAGGAGAGGCCTGTCGGAAAGGAACCTAAACATGGGGCCTGCCACTGACATATCCTCTGTGAAACAGGGGACCACCTCCAGACCCCAGGTGGACACTGGAAGTAACACCATCTCTAGGCATATGACTGCCACAAATACAGTACATGGAAAACTGCCTGCTGCCTATAAAACCTTGGACACAGCTACCTGTAGCAAATACCCCCCAGTTACTGCAGCACCAGGTCTGTCATCAGAGTCACTGGCTGTCTTCTCATCAGTAGAGACATCTACTCCTCAAGAATTCTCTCTCACAACATCACAGACATCTTCTGCTGGCTGTGACTCACAGCTGAGAGTTTCAGAATCCAGCCTGTTGGCAGCAGTTGTCCCTGACACATCCGTGACACTTTGCAAGAGCTTCACTTTATTGAAGACACCACCTGCAACATTAGAGTCACCAGCTGGTGTGAAAACAGGTGCCAATATAAAGACACCATTCACTACATTTAAGACACCTGTTCACATATTACAGACACCACTCACCACAGTTAAGACACCATTCACTACATTTGAGACACCAGTACACACATTAAAGACACCATTTACTACATTTAAGACACCCCTTCAAACATTAAAGACGCCATTCACTACATTTAAGACACCTATTCATACATTAATGATACAACCATCAACAGTAAAGACACCATCTCTTACAAAGTTGCCAGCTACTACACATAATAAGACACAGTCTCCGCTGTTTCAAACAAGTAGTACACTGAAGACCCAGTTTACCTCAGTTAAGACATCAGATACATTTCACATACCAATACAAATTCCAGTAATCACACCAGAAATATCACTTATGACACCAAATACATCACTGAAGACACCACAAACATCACTTATGACACCAAATACGTCGCTGAAGTCAGCAAATACATCACTGACTTCAGCAAATACATCACTTATTACACCAAACACATCACTTATGACACCAAATACATCACTAAAGTCATCAAATACATCATTAAAGACACGAGCAGGGGTATCCCCAACATCACATATGAATATGACTCCACCACTATGTTCTTGTGGGCGCAGATCGAAATGTCGGGTAGTTCAGAAACCAGGACCAAACACCGGCCGCTGCTTCTTCGCTTGTTCTGTGACGAGGGACAGACATTCATGCTGCAAATTTTTCCAGTGGGCTTCACCAGACACCCCAGCCCCGACTAACATGCAGGCTTCACGCGGGTCATTTTGCGTGCCGCCTTGAAATTTGCTCTTGAACATGGTAGATGTGATTCAGTGGGGATTTTTGTTCAAATGTGGTCATGTTTTAACCTCATCTCTTAGTAGTTGGGTCATATTTTAAACTCATCTAGTAGTTGTGTGGTCACGAATTAACCTATCTAGTTCTGGAGTCATTATTAAGCTCATCTAATAGTTGCGGGATCATGTATTAACCTCATCTCTTAGTTGTGGGGGTCATTATTAATCTCGTCTATTAGTTGTGGTGTCATGTGTTAAGCGTGTCTAGTATTTGTGTGGTCATGCTCACAAGATCACACAGACACCTCTATAAGTGACCTCAACTCTTTACACACATTATACCACGAGAATCTCACTGTGTCTGTAGCTAGAATCACACCCGGAGAATCTCAATATGTCTGTAGCTAGAATCACACCCGGAGAATCTCAATATGTCTGTAGCTATAATCACACCAGGAGAATCTCACTGTGTCTGTAGCTATAATCACACCAGGAGAATCTCACTGTGTCTGTAGCTAGAATCACACCAGGAGAATCTCACTGTGTCTGTAGCTAGAATCACACCAGGAGAATCTCACTGTGTCTATAGCTAGAATCACACCAGGAGAATCTCACTGTGTCTATAGCTAGAATCACACCAGGAGAATCTTACTGTGTCTGTAGCTAGAATCACACCAGGAGAATCTCACTATGTCTATAGCTAGAATCACACCAGGAGAATCTCACTATGTCTATAGCTAGAATCACACCCGGAGAATCTCACTGTGTCTGTAGCTAGAATCACACCAGGAGAATCTCAATATGTCTGTAGCTAGAATCACACCAGGAGAATCTCACTGTGTCTGTAGCTAGAATTACACCAGGAGAATCTCAATATGTCTGTAGCTAGAATCACACCAGGAGAATCTCAATATGTCTGTAGCTAGAATCACACCAGGAGAATCTCAATATGTCTGTAGCTAGAATTACACCAGGAGAATCTCACTGTGTCTATAGCTAGAATCACACCAGGAGAATCTCACTGTGTCTATAGCTAGAATCACACCAGGAGAATCTCACTGTGTCTATAGCTAGAATCACACCAGGAGAATCTCACAATGTCTGTAGATAGAATCACACCAGGAGAATCTCACTATGTCTATAGCTAGAATCACACCCGGAGAATCTCACTGTGTCTGTAGCTATAATCACACCAGGAGAATCTCAATATGTCTGAAGCTAGAATCACACCCGGAGAATCTCACTGTCTATAGCTAGAATCACACCAGGAGAATCTCACTGTGTCTATAGCTAGAATCACACCCGGAGAATCTCACTATGTCTATAGCTAGAATCACACCCGGAGAATCTCACTGTGTCTATAGCTAGAATCACACCAGGAGAATCTCACAATGTCTGTAGATAGAATCACACCAGGAGAATCTCACTATGTCTATAGCTAGAATCACACCCGGAGAATCTCACTATGTCTATAGCTAGAATCACACCAGGAGAATCTCACAATGTCTGTAGATAGAATCACACCAGGAGAATCTCAATATGTCTGAAGCTAGATCACATATGCTGTAAATATTGGTAATGTTTTCTAACACCAATCCTGCCATGTTTATAACAATTGAAGATTTGTATGTTTGTATTTATATATGTAACTCCGCTAAGACCGGTCCCAAGCCCGGCTGTAAAAGGAGGAGGGTCTGGCTGAACCTGAGTGCTTCATGCGTCTCCGGAAGTAGTGGGTAACCGTGAATCAGCCAGACGGCCTGCATGGAGGCCGCAAGGAGGCAGCCCCTCCACCATGCAAAGGCACAACAGGCCAATCACCTGTTTGCCTTAAACCACGATTACAAGTAACTACAGAGAGAAAACCGGACGGATCTTAACGGCGACGAACTGGCATGGCTTACGGACTACGATTTATGGAACATGGAATATAAGAGGCATTAACGGAAAAGGAAAACGAGTTAGTAGGGGAGATGAGGAAAGCAAAATTAGGAGTCTTGGCTCTGACTGAAACCCAGAAAAAGGGGCAAGGAATCACAGATCACGATGGAAGTATGCTGCTCTACAGTGGTGTCCCTATGACGGAGAGAGCCAAGGGAGGTGTTGGCTGTATTGTGGCCAGGAATCAAGTTAGTAACATCAAAGGATGGAAATTCATCTCAGAGCGAATAATGGTGTTAGATCTGAAAGAAGAAGATAAAATTGTCAATTTTGTCATTGTGTACGGGCCAAATGAAGATGAGCGAGTAGATGTTAAAGAAGAATTCTTTGAACTGCTCCAAAAGACCATAGATGACTGTCACGATGAAATTATCCTCCTAGGAGATCTAAATGCCAGAGTAGGAAATGATCACTCTAGATGGGGTGGAGTGATCGGGAGATATGGTGAAGATGTTTTGAATGATAATGGCAAGCGACTTCTCAGATTCTGCAGGGAACAGAACCTTGTCATTACAAACACGAAATTCCCCCACAAGCGTATACATGCATACACAAGATGTGAACCTTCAAAGAATGAAAAATCCATCATTGACTACGCCATAGTTAGGAAAAGTTCATTCAAGTTTGTGATAGATGCCAGAGTCATGAGAGGACCAGAGATTGGAAGTGACCACTATCTGGTCACAATAAAGAGAACAACTGAAAGAACTGCTCCAACAAGGCAACACCGACAACTATGCAAGAAACAAAGCAACCAAGAAGGGATGAGGATTAAAGCATACAAGCTAAGAGAGCCAGATATTAAGGCTAGATACCAGGAGCTTATAGTGAAAGCAATAGGAACTGAAGAAGAACCATCAGAGGACACTGAAACCCTCTGGTGCAGATTCAAGAATATCCTCACAGCAGCTGCAGTAGAAGCATGTGGTGAAGTCCCAAGTGGAAGGCGGGGACACAGGACACCTTGGTGGACAGAAGAAGTCAAATTGAAAATAGGAGAAAAGAAAAGGGCATGGAAGCAATACCTGGCAGCCAGGAACACAGCTGAAGAAATAGAAAAATATAAACAATATGTGGCACTCAGAACAGAGACCAAAAATATTGTGCTTAAAGCAAAACAGAAATCATGGGAAGAGTTTGGAGAAAAGTTGGAAAAGAATGCAAGAGAAAACCAAAAACTGTTCTACAAGACCCTTAAGAACATGAGGAAGGAGAAAGAGTGCCCACTTAAATTCATAAAAGACAAGGAAGGGGCTCTGCTTACTTCTACAAATGATATCATGGGCAGATGGAAAGAATACTTCTCAGAGCTCCTCGGCGCTGAGGGAAGTCATGACCCAGAAATAATGGACCTCACTGCTGAGAAGGAATTCAATCATGTGGAAGATAACATCAGGATGGAAGAATTGAAGGCAGCTATTGAGAAGATTAAGCTGGGAAAAGCAGCAGGTCATGATGGTATAACACCAGAGATGGTCAAATATATGGGAGTCGAAGGTGAGCGCCTTCTACTGAAGGTTCTCCAGGCAGCCTGGTGTAGCAAAACTATACCAAAAGATTGGGAGATTGCCATAATTATACCTATATTTAAAAAAGGTGATAACAGACAATGTGAAAACCACAGAGGCATATCCCTCCTCAGCATCCCCGGTAAAAGTTACTCTAGAATTCTTGAGCAGAGACTTAGAAGTCTGGTAGAGCCACAGCTGGACGAGGCCCAGTGCGGCTTCAGAGCAAACCGAAGTACTCAAGACCTTATCTTCACACTGAGACAGATGAGTGAAAAAGCCCTGGAATATAAGAGTGAGATTCACTTATGTTTTTTGGATCTGGAAAAGGCATTTGACAAGGTACCCTGGAACAAGCTCTGGGACTGCTTGGCAGGGAAAAACATCCCAGCACCCCTGATCAGTGCAATACAGAGTTTCTACAAAAAGTGCAGAAATTATGTAAGAACAGCAGACCAAAAGTCAGAAGAATTTAAGACCACCAGCGGTGTTAGACAAGGTGATATTCTCTCACCTTACCTCTTCATTCTTATGATGGATGATGTCATCAAGACCTGTAAGGAGAAGACAAAGAAGTACTCTGTAGGGTACTGGAAGATGAGACCAATCTGTATATCAGAGCTGGCTTTTGCAGACGATGTGGCCCTGATAGCTAAATCAGAGGCACACCTTCCAGTACAACTTACTTGTCTGGAAGGAAGAGCTTGAAAAGAAAGGGATGACCATCAGTGTCTCCAAAACTAAAACCATGGTGATCTCAAGAGAGGAGAAGAAACACCAGATCATGATGGGTCAGTATGCGTTGGAGCAGGTTAACCAGTTCAAATACCTTGGAGTTGTATTAGACCAAAATGGAGGCATTAAGACTGAGCTGGCTACACGAAAAGCAGCTGCTGGGAGACTCTTCCAGGCCATAAACCGAGGGTTTCTTAGCAAAAGAGAAATTGGCAAGAGGACGAAAATGGCTGTTTACCGCTCTACCTATGTACCAGTCCTGACCTATGGGTGTGAGTCATGGGCAATGACAACAGCTCACAGAAGCCAGCTGCAGGCCTCGGAAATGAGATACCTGAGAAAGGTGGTCCAAGTGACAAGAAGGGACAAAGTCCGCAATCAGACAATACGTCAAGATCTTGATACCCAGCCCTTACTAACCCGAGTGGATCAGTCACAGTTACGATGGTTTGGACATGTGTGCAGAATGGGAGAAAATCGGCCACCATGGCAAGCATGGGAGGCTAAGAACCAGGGAACCAGACCTCCGGGACGACCCAGGGTGCGCTGGGAAGACAACATCCGACAGTCCCCCTGACTGACAGAGGACTGGAATGGAACAAAGCCAGAAAGAAAACTGCTGATAGAGACGTCTGGCGATCTCTCTGGCAAACCTCTACACCCCAAGGTAGAAGAGGAGCGACTAAGTAAGTAAGTAAGTATTTATATATGTTAATGTGTGTTTGTATGATCACCTGTGCTGCCATTTGCTTATGAGAGTCTACACTCTAGGGAACTATTTAATCACTTGGGTCTCTACTGAAGTGAACTATGCTACCAC